TTCCCTAACATTGTTAAGTATTGTGTGTCAACTAATTGCTTTCAAAAAGAGTGAAAGCTTTGCTATTAATTTTCCCAATGTTCTTCATTTTCTCCTGCTGCCGATTCTTCTCCTTCTATCCTCTACTGAGTGCATATGTCTACCTGATTTTTGTCTTTATTCTGCCTATTAATTCTTGCCACTAAGTTGTCGTTTCTTCTGGAAATGTTACTTCTTAGTGTTTTCCCAGTCTTTGTGGATTTTCTCACCTCTTGGATTTTAATTATCCTACTGTTCCTGGAAGATATGATAAACATCCTTAAATTCAGGAATAAAAAATAGTCTGCAAGTGGATTTGCTTAAAATAACCATATCTTCCTAAATAACTTTTGTTTGAAGAAAGGCCATGTGGTCTGGCATAGAGGTAACCGGAGCCACCAACCACTTCTCAGTTAACAAAAACAACTGCACTTCATGTGAAATGCATGTACAGCTTATGTTCCTTTTTGTCTGGTATGGAACAGATTGCCTGTAAACATGGCCCCGTAAAATACCTCAGCTCTAGAAAACATCAGAAATCTAGCCATGGGATAGTATATTAGGTGCTGACTTCCTCCAGCTGATACAAGCTACATCCTATCTTATTATCTAGATTTGAGGTGTAGAAGTAAATGCGGAGAGGAAGACAGACAGTTTCTTCAAGAGTTTAAGACGGCTGAACTAGCAGGCAGACACTATTTCTGTATCTGTAATATGTCAGCTGAATTATGTCAGGTCTTGTGACTTTTACCACCTATTGGAAAATATTTGCTGTTCTCACTGACAGATCCTCAAATTGTCTCATAGCAAAGAAAACAATTTTACCACCTTTCTGGTATTTTTGTAAGTCGTCATCTGTATCGCAGTAACAAGTTCTCTTCCAACCCTTAAAACTAGGCATCTGTATTTTTATATACATGTTACATTTTTATCTAAATAAAACCCCCCACATTGATCAGAAAAACACCTTTTACCATAGATAATTAGAGATGCTTTCACAGACAACATGCTAGCTCATCTTCTATACCACTGATCTTACAGACGGTACATACCTGACAGGCTGAGGATAGCAGTTTTTTTCTATTCCCACACCTCCAAAAGCGTGAAAATACATTGTATGGAAAGCTGGTCTGCAGAAAGCTATGCAAGACTAACAATCTAGTCAAGGACGTCTATCCTGAACAATTTCTGGAGGCTTTTAATAGCACAAACATTGAAGTGGAAACGGTAAAAAATTGGCATAATTTCATAGCTGAAGAAATAAAGCTTTGGAAGAGAATTGCACCTAGAAAGGTATGACTCAAGCAAGCTATAAAGAGACTGCTAGACACATCATGGTCTCTGAGAGATCTGAATATAGGATCAGAAGATGAAGATTAAATTCTGCTTGCTTCACAGATGTAAATACTTCCTCTACATTCATTTTTAATTTCTTATAAATAGAAGAGGGGGGGGAAAAAGTTGGCCTACATGCATACAGAGTATGATCACTGCAAATATATTAGGATTACACTAATTGTTGAGAATTAATGAGTGGAAAAAAATTGTTTGAAATATACATTAATATCAGGTTTCTAATAAAGTAACTCTCCTTACTTACAAAAGGAAATTGAAATAAAGGTAATGAGACACAGAATTTACCAAATAATTAATTTTACAATTATATAAATGCTCTCTTTTTATACTACTAATTACTCTTTTCTGCTGTTTGGAGAGAAAACTCCAGAACTGTTCCCTGAAACAAGTGTTGATGTTAATTTGATTCGGAAAACCTGATTCTTACCTGCCACCAGTATCTGAAGTGGGATAGGTAAAAATGAAGAAACTGGTATCAGTCTTAGCTCAAGAGAACCCTCACTGAAAAGCCACTACCACTCAGAGAATTGTAGCCTTTCTTGTAAATATAGGTAACTTCGACTAAGTTGGGACTGTAAAGTGATGTGGAAGTTGGTCTTTGTCTAGCAGAGGCTCCTGCTCCCTTCAGAGCTGCTGTGAATCCTTTACCTTTAATCAAAGGCAAGGCTTGGAGGAAAGACACTGTTAGAGCTGGTGCTCAGCTTTTGCCGAGTTCTCAGCTCAGCAGGGGTTTGATAATCCTTCCACTCCAGGAGGCAACTTGATTTCTCCTTGCATAGCATAAACTCACATTTCCTGCTTATCATCAAACTGGTTTTACAGTTGTGACAGTTGTCATCACTGGCACCTGACCTGTGATGAGGTATGCATATGCCTGCAGGGACAAATATACAAATACGGGACAATGGGAGTAGACCTGAGTGGCAGTCTGGTGTACCACTACATATCCGCTGGTCTGGGCAATGTATTTTGATTTATATGGAATTCTTAATAAGCAACATTTGATGTTTTGGCACCACCAAGAGCTAGCACTTCTTACTGCTACAGTAAGTCTCTAAATATAAATAATGGTTCTCCACTTTTTAAACAGTGCCTAACTGCAAACACTTGGGGGAAAAAACCAACCAGCCCTAACTTCCTCTTGAGACAACGCGGACAGGTTTGTGGTTTTTTTTCCCCCTAGAACTTTTATTTATCTTCTAGTGAATGTTTTCTGCTTATGTAGCTAAACTTCCAGTCTACTTAGTAAATGCTTTGAGTTTAGGGAGATAGAACCTAAAAGCAGGCAGGTGTTTACATGCAACGTCAGTTGTGATCTACATCTGTAAGTCTCAAATTCCCTGTTTAAATTGAAACTTGTCCAGTCAACTTAAACTTTGCATCATACACCCATCTGAAAACTCCATTGGCAAAAGGAGACAAGTAGTAAGTTTCTGCATTAGCCTACTAGAAAGTGAGCAGCACCTGAAGGTTAGAGTTAATAACAAAGTTCAGCATAGCACAGACTGAACAGCAAGGCTTATTGCTGAATTATGCAGTTCCAAAAGGGCTAAAAAGAAGCCCTTAGCCAGTATGGATGAATGGTTAATGATTAATAGTGACCTGCAGTGTGTCTTGTTATCTACGTAAAGCATTTTCTGTATTTTGGCTAAGTATTCTCACTATTATTACACAATTGGCAAATTTTTAGTAGTGCAATAACAGCTCTAGAAAACACAGTTGTCTCCACGAATAAAAAAGATGGCATTCATACTTTTTAAAGTACTCTGATAGAACTCAGATAATAAATTCTCACAGAAAAACTAACTAAAGAAAATTAAGATGAGCAAAAATAAAAAAGATACTGCTTTTTAATAGCGTTTTCAAGGGAAGTGGAATAAAATAAATCTGTAAGATAGTACACAGGGAATTAGGTAAATTCACTTACCTGCTTTGCCTGTTTGCATACTGTACTGAAAAAATCCCTACCTTCAGGTAGTTTTGCCACCATTTCAAAAACGTGATGTGTGTTCTTCCGACACATGTCTACTGGATCATCCAAGAGCTCAGCAAGGGCAGAAATCACTCCATTTCGTATCAATCCTTGCCTACAAACAACATTGGAGGACTGATTTAACTAAGCATAATAAAACTCATATATTTGTGAGATGCTTAATCCTAACTAAATACTCTCATTTACATTGCGCTTATCTTGATGAAACTTGGGAATTCTGTTCTTATTTCTCGCTGAAACATCTTTAGCACTTCCTGTAACATTCAGTAAACTCTGGAATTAGACCTACCTGCCAACACTATGCATAGCCATTACGTAAAGGACTTCGGTTGTTTTTTGTCGGACAGTATTGTCATTATGTAGCAGCAAAGGCTTCAGGTTATCCAGGAATCCTATGGGACACAATAGTTCATTTTAACATTTTTTTACCTTCAGCATGAATTTGAAATAGCAATACTCATTTTTGTCTCACAAGTCCAAACAATCAGAACTTTCACCCTGTCCTCATGGTGAAGCTTTCACTGTCTTATCTCAAGTAGGGAAGAAACTTTCAAGTTTCAAGGCCTACGGCCAAAAATCTCATGCTACAAACAAGCTGCTGACAATTGTATTAAGTTAAATCCTAATCTTGCAAATATTTATGAAGTGACATAACTCTAAAAATAACTCGAGTCAGTGGAGCTATTGATGTTTTTAGAAAAGCCTGTGTTTGCAGGATCGACACCCACTTGTCTTTACTTTCTTTAGGAGCAGCATAGGCTATGTAAAAACACAGCACGTTGCTTTTCATATAGAAATAAATTTGGTGAACTATTGAAGATTATATGTATATGCATATAACACCAATAAAATCCCCAAACAATTTTGCTTCAGCAGTTACAACACTTAATAGTAGTTACAATAACAATGAATTTTGAAGATGATTATTGGTATCTTTTATGAGGAAAAAAAAAGTGAAGTAAATGGAGAAAAAAACAGTGGCAAACAGTGTTACATAATGACCTATGTAGATACAGAGCAGACTGCTGAAAATTGAGATGAAAAATTTGTGTGGGTTTTTTTTTCCAAAATCCAAACTCAGAATTATTCCAGGTGCTGTGATAAAAGCTTTTGAAAATAGTGGTGGCCGGGTATAATCCTGTTAAGTATGATAAATTTGGTTATACTGGCTTGTATCTTAACTTGTAATGAAATTCCACGGTCTTTCTGTTACAGACTCATTCTATGGTCACTAAGGTATTTCTGAGGAATTCTGCATAAAAATTTCTGCATGAAAATCATCTGATCTCCAGATGATGTCTAGAGGTCCCTTCCAATCCCTAACATTCTGTGATTCTATGACTCTATGTTTTGTCTCTTCAGCTGAGTTGTATCTGGATGTGCCATGTTATCCACTGCTGAAGGAATGAATGGCAAAAGATGACTTCACAGATTTTGCAAATTAATTTGTAAGGCCTTATTTAAACATTATTTTATTAACTATCAGTTAAAAGGTTCATCAGAGTTTATTGCCGGTTATTATTATGGGATCTGAGATATGAGTATTTTGAGCACCTCAAGCATAAAAAGTTCAGGAAGGTACCACTGGCCTATGTTACATGGTACAAAATGTCTAATACCGGAAAAAAAATAAAAAAGGGATATTGTCCTTTTTTTATGCTCTATTTGAAAGCTCTTTCTTTTCCCCTTTCTAAAAAAAATATATCTAGTAATATTTTAAATGAGAAACTAATAAACTGGGGGCTTTGGTTCGTTAGGTTTTTTTTTCTGAAAGGTTCATGGTTAACAGGTTTAAAAAAGATTCGAGTTAATTGAAATTTAACTAAGTAGCAAGAAGGTGGTGAGGCGTGCATTCCAAATTTTGGACTAATTAAGCTTATTAAAAATTTTATTATCTTACATTAGGAATTTGCTAAAGTTCAGAATAAACAAAAGAAAAAAAATCTTTTGTTGTTAGGGGTTGATAAAAGCTATAGTGAGCCATTAATAAAACCTAAACAGGTGTTACTCTTAAGCATCATGTGTAAGGCATTGTAATATTCTTTAACTTTTTAAGTTAAAAGAAATAGAGATTAAAATAGAAAAAAACATAGCTGTTTTGTATCCTCAAAGAGAAGCAGCTCATGAAAGGTGGGGGGTTTCCCCTCACTGTGTCAAAGCTTACGACAACAGTTCACTTACCTATTTCTACTGCCTGGTAGATGTTTTCTGGGTCATGGACCAGATCGCAGAGCGCCATCAATGCCCGCTGCTGAGTCAGTAGCTCAGGAGAACGTAACTCCTCATTCAGCTTAGGCAGGGCCCTCTTCCCAAACGCAATGGGAGCTTTTGTGGGCTCTAGATGAGGGGGCAGGCTGCCTGAGATACGAGCATGTGCCATCCCAAATTTTCCTGGGCAGGATTCTCCCTGTCCCTAAAAATACTCCAAAATGACTGTACCTGGTGACTGGACAGATAATGTCACAAAAAGACACTTGCTGACTTTAAACAGTGGTCTGGGTCCCAGAAGAGCTATTTTTTTCACACTTTCATTGTTACAAAGCTATGAAAGAAGAGGCTGGAGTGGTTCATGGTCATCTGCATTAATATCTGTTCATCAGCTGAATTGTCTGTTCTATTGAATACTGTAAAGAAAAAAAAAAGTTTAACTGCAAGGTGAGCTAGGGAATGTTTTCAAAGGGTTAAAGTAGTTCAGAAGGGGACCAAAATAGTATTAAGTAAAGCAAACCCGCTATTTTTCAAGAAAACATTCCTTCAAAAGGGGTCTAATTTCAATTCGCCCTCAGAATTCATTAACGTCCGAAAGAATGGGTGAGGGCTGGCCTCCCCCTCCCCTCAGAGAGGAAAACGGCCGATCTAACGGAAGCTCAACAAACAAAACAACTGCACTTCTCTCTTCAAAACAAAAGAAACAGACTACAGAGCCAAAGGCACCCCGTCCCACCAAC